CGAAAGATTGGGTCAATGTGTCTAGTTCATACCAAAAATCATGCTAATTTATAACCAAGCAATTTAACAACACTCTAAAACCCCACTAAAGAATTTACATTTTCTTGAGTATAAATGAAGGGTTAATATAAGAAGTTTAAAGAACGACAATTTTTATTAGCACAAAGTATATTAGAAGAAAATTTAAAGAAAATGATTTTATTCGTTAATCAAATTCTAAACAGTACATGATTTAAATTTAAGATACTGTAATTACACCACTGTTACGATAAAAATTTTATTAAATAAAGTGAGAGAGAAATTTTGCCAATACCGAATATTGATGCCACAATGGGCTGAGTTTTTATTTCGCAATTTGTTTTGGTATCGGTTAGAAAACAGACATCTTGCATTTTCCATAATAAATGTTTCATTATATCGCACACGCTACATTTGGATAGTTTCCAAGCCCTCATAAGGTAAGCTCCTTGACTTTAGTATTCAAATACATTTACATTAACCAAATTTTCTCAGACAATGATATATTAGAGATACTTTAAAATTTATTAATTTGATTATAAGTGGAGATACTTGATTTCAGATATCCTTACCGATTCCGATAGATATTCCTATCAGAGCCTTCATAGGGACCGGGATGAGTCTTTTTTATATTATTTTCTAGCATTACTTGGCCAGGCCTGGGTTTTTGAAAAATTTAATGGGCTTACTTAAAAAAATTTTATTTAAATTTAGCATATTTAAATAGTTGCTAACTTAAAAAATATTGCTTTCTTCTAATAATGATAATTTTTAGATTGTAAACAAAATGATTGCCTAAATAATTTTCATTAAATACAATAAATTAAATTAAATATTTGGATATGAGCTTGGGAAATTTTATGAAACTTATAGACTATGCCTGGGCTTGGGAATTTTATCCATTATTAAATATAGGCGGGACCTGGGCATAAATCTTTTTAACATAGGGCCTGGTCCTAAAAATTTTTTATGTCGAGTCTAGGTCGGGCCTGATCAGAAAATTAAGCCAATGAAGGTCTCTGATTACATCTTTTTCAAATGTTATACGATCCGATTTCGAACTGTCAATTATTTTTTTGAGAACTCAACTTACATTTTTGATGTTTTTTATTTTTTTAGAACTCAACTTACATTTTTTGATGTTTTTAAAAAAAATATATATATAATTTACAGAGTTGTTAAAAGATACTTTTTAAATGGATCTAGATACTGATACAGATACAGCTTCTAAAAAGTTATCTTGATACAGATACAATTTAAAATGTATCTATATACAGATACATTTTTTATTATATTAGGATTCTATTGTGAAAATTCATGAAATGATCTAAAAAATTTATTGACTCGATATCACATTTATTTAAGATATTAATATAATATATGATTAATATAAATAATTATTATATATCATTAATATAATATATGATTAAATGATTATAAATAATTATTAGATTTCAGTAACAACCACTGTCTGTCGGCGAATTATATTCTTTTGTGGAGTTAATGTTTTGATCATTTTTATAAATGAAGAATTTTCAACAATTAAAAATGGCTGAATGCTATCTATAATAAAATCAGTTATTAAATCATCTAAAGTGGTTTGGGTTAAAGTCTGAGGTCTCTTGGAAAAAAAATCAATGGACGATGAGCCTAGTCTAATATTTTCTTTAATAGATTTTTTTCTCCTTCCCCTTTTTTATTTGAATTAAGAGTGTTTGATATTATCTTAAAATTAAAATTGTAAACATTTATTTAGTATCTATACCCTTAAATGTTGCAAGTTGAGGTAATGCTAACTGAAATTTGCATATTTTTTGGTAGACATGGCAAACATTTTACTAACAGAGATTTGTTTTTCTTTATTTTGAGATATTCTTTTAAAATATGGTCTATAAATTGGCCATGGAAGAATGTCGTCATTTTCGTCATCAATATTAATCTTAAAAATTTATATAATAATTAATATAATAGAATAGAATAAAATACCAATTCCATTGCAATTAAAAATAGCAAATTCCTTGGGATGGATTGTAATATCAGAATTTGCTTGTTATTGATAACTCGGACATAATATTTAATTAATATTTATATATTCTTTTTTATATATAAGTTTTAATATATTACATATATATATATAATTTTTTAATATATATATTAATATTAAGTTATATGCTCATATGAAATAAAATAAATTTTACATTCAAGTATTTTTATTTATAATATAAAAAAGCGTTAAATAATCAAAATATATCTTAAAAAGTATCTAAAAACAGATACAGATACCTCTAAAATAATATCTAGATACAGACACTTTAATCAAAAATCTATCTAGATACAGATACCACATTTTTCTAGATACTTTAACAACTCTGATAATTTATACAATATAAATTAATTACTAATATTCAAAAATAATAATCAAGCTTTAACAGGAAAAACCATTGTAAAATCATAATATAACCATAAATATTTACATTAATATTAAATTTTAATCAGATTTATTTGAAATCTTAAAAATTGGAAAAATTTCGAACATATATTCCTACAACATCTAAAAATACGTCATAATAAAACGCCATGAGTGTTTATTTTTAAGAGTGTGAATTAATTAGGACTATGAACCCTCCTTCTAAAAAAAGGGCTCAGTGTGTTCTGGTTCAGTGAAATATCTCTAAACCAGGTTCGGGTTCAGTTGGGAAAATTTAGTAAAAATAACAGAAACATCAGATTTTTTATTAACTTTATTTTACTATATTTAGTCCTTGCCATAAAAATAATTTATCATTATAATTAGAATATAAGCAAATTAATTACCATGATATCTTCCAAAATCGAGATGTTAAAATTAAAATATCGATTTTTTATACCTAACTTTGACATTGCAACTTATATTTAATAAAGCTATTTAACCTTGTGATTATGTTCTTTTCTTTGGCCTTTTATTTAATTATCACAAACAAAAATAAATATTCCTAAAATATATATTATTAAGTATTATATTTATTAAAAAGGTTGAAAAATATGCTGGCCAAATTTTAAATTTTTACATAAATTAGTGATTAACAGTTCAATTTGAGTCGATTTTTAAAGATGGATAACTCAATATTTTACCCAAAATATATGATAAGCCTAAAGGTTTTGTTTATAAATAGAACAAAGGTTTTGACAGCTGTTGTGATTAACAATAATTTTTATTATTCTAATTATATGTTTTATTCGGTTCCATGTCAATTCAGCGAAACTTTTATCGCGAATGGATTTTATAGCGAATACTATTGCAATATCGAGAATTTTTTATAGCGAACTTTATACCGAATACATTACCGCGAATACAATATCGCGAAATTTTTAAAGCGAATACATTACCGCGAAAATTTTATAGCGAAACCTTTATCACGAAATCAAGCGAATATATTACCGCGAAACTTTAATCGCGAAAATTTTCTAGCGAAGTTATTATCGCGAAACCCAAACGCGAAGACAATATAGCGACAATTATTTCGAGGAACATATATCGCGAAGATATTATAGCGAATTTAATATCGCGATAATTGCTAATAATGACTAATTTATTTTGAAACATTTTTTTATAATTATATTATTTGTATAATATTTTTTTTTAAAAAAAGGTGGAAGATTGATTCAATGATAGTTTCTAATTTTCTTTTAACCTTTAAATTTATATAATGATTATTAAACTTAGATCTGGTTTATGAAATTTGTTATTGGAATATACTTTTTCCCGATCCTATCCTTTTCCTCGAAGTTCTTATTTTATAAGAGCGAACAAGGAACTCAGCTTTATCAATATATTAATCATTGAGTTTATTAGTTAAATCTTGATTACTGGCGAAATTGATATCTGGGTAGCATTTATATTTATTGTGACTTAATATTTATAAATTTATCAATCAGTTTTGCCCAGAGTTGGCAAGTCAGTCAATTGACCAGTCAAATGACTAAATTTGACGGGTCAATTGAACGGGGGAATATTTGACCTGGTCAAATGTGATCAAATTTTCTAAAAGATCTTAAGATAAAAATATGTTTGAAAAAGAAAAAACGATATAAATACATGTGATTACAATGCTGCTATTTATTGAGTTCCTATTAATGAAGTATGTAATATAATAAAAGGATTAGGCATATAAGGTGGTGATCAAAATTTCAAGTTATATCATAAATTTCAGAAATAAAAGTGGCATGTTTAATAGAAAATCATGGGGAAAGCAGTAACTTCCATAAGAAGCAATCAGATTCCAATCTCAAGCAGTGGAATTAGCTTTGACCACCATTGCCATTAAGAGAAATGACATTTTATTAACAATTCCTAGATCTATTTCTTCTTCAGAAAGAAATTGGTCGATTATAAATATTTTCGCCATTCTTTCCTCTTTATTTCGGAGTCTTATAAAATATGTTATCAAGCAAAAATAAGGAGATCTTAACCTTTAAAAATTATTTGTTCCGCCTGGATATAGTCTCAGCTACAAACTATTACAGATGCCTTAACCAAGATATATTAAAATGTCCCGTACGATTAACAAAAAAAAATGGTAAGATAGAAGAAAATAAAGAAATACACAATCATTCAGAAAATTCAATCGAAATGGAAACCAAGAAAATAATCAATTCAATTAAGAATGAAATAATACCATGGAAACTCCAAACTTTATTGTGGCGAAACACGTCAATTAAGTGATTCCATATCAATGGCACTACCATAACCAAAACGTATAATTCACTGAACGCAGAGTTCAAACAGTTTTGCACCTCAGAAGCAGCCTTATCGAGCTGGTAATTCCGCATGAATATTCAATTACAGATAAGTACGAGGATTTCATACTTCATGATGATGGTCCGGTTAGATTTTCTATAAATTTTAGGAAAAAGTATAACTAAATCCTTCATTTTTATTGCGATAATCTGCTCGATAAGAAACACTTTATTATAATTGCTTTTTTATTTATCATGTGTGCTAGGTTTCCGACCATGCTATCATATTTGGAACAAGAAAAAATTTGGACTTCTTAGCTTCATGTGAACATTGGTTTTCTGTTGGTACATTTAAATCGTTGCCATCTTTATTTACGCAAATTTATACAATTCATGGGATAAAAAATAAAAATGTTTTACCTCTCATATATATATTGACCAATAAAAAAGATTATGAAACATATAAAAAAATATTTACTATTAGGTGACAACTTAATATCAACTCCAAAAAAAAATATGACGGATTTCGAAATGGCCAGTGTAAAAGCTTTCAATGAAGTGTTTCCCAGTTCACAACACAAATGTTGTTATTTCCATTTTGGCCAATCCTTTTGGTGAAACATTCAAAAATATCCAGAATATAAAACAGATGTGGAATTTAATGTACAACTTAGAATGGGTTTGCTTGGCATTTGTGCCACCTTTAAATGTAGTTGAAACATTTGAATTACTAATAAACTCCAAATTTTATTCTAATAATCAATTGTTACTTCAGCCTCTAATTGCTTTTGAAAAAGCTTACATTGGTAAAACATTTGGAAGAGGCAGACTACCTATTTTGTTTAATATTAAACTATGGTACTCTTACCAATCAACTCTGAACGGGGAAGGGAAAACCAACAACGCCGTTGAAGGATGGCATAGATGCTTCAGTTCCTTCCTAACAATTCACCATCCAAACATATGGAAATTTATATCAAGTTATCTATATATCTATTATTTTAAAATGATTTAAAAAGTATAAAGATTTACTAATAAACTTTATAATTTATATTCTAGGCTTAAAAAAACAACAAGGGTTGACAGAGTTAAAAATTGCTCAATATAATTCTGGTGAGACACCCTTTACCCCTAGAGAAAAATATCGAAATCTACATGCGAGAATAGTTACAATTGTTTCTGATTTCGAAAATCGATCAAGATTAGATTATCAAAGGAATCGCTATTAATATAACATTGAATGTTTAATTTTTTAAAATTTTTATCTACAATAATAAAAATTTTGTTTGTTTATAGTCTCAAATTTTTTATACAAAAATATAGGAAGGTCTACTTTGGTATAAAATTTAGCTGGCTACATACAGACTCATTCATCAAGATATAGATTTTATGAGGGTATTTACAAATTCTTTTATATGTGACGCAGTCTTTCTCTACCACATCAATCACACGATTAATATTTTAAAAATAACTGCCTTTCGTCATGCATTATAAAATTATTTTAAAATTCATATTCTTAGCTCTTAAGTCATATAGTTGTTTTCCCTTATAAATATGGTCACTTTTGATGAGCAACATTATTATAAAATAATACTCAAGGATTACACTAAAGGGCAAAGTTTAAAACGAGGATTACATTTTCCTTTTTTAAAGCATGTAAATTTTTTTATATTGCGGTGTTTTTGTCCGATGTTTTTTCCCATGGTTATTTTAACCAGTCTTTGTCCAAATCAATGATTCTTTTAAAATTTTACACTTCAGTTATATATTTAAAATAAACTATTGGTTTAGACGATATGATATGGCTATGCTCTTCTTTTTCGTTCACATATTCAATAAATAAAAAAATCATTTTTTTAAAAACTTTTTATAATGAAATTTATTTTGTAAGGATATTTATTCTGATATAAAAAAATATGGCCTAAAGGGATCTATTAAAAAAAGATAATAGTTGCTATACCATTTCCTATTTTAACTTAAGAAAAGGACTGTGGAGAATATAATGTATTTACTTTAACAGGGGCTTGTATACCCATCTATAAATGAGATCAACCCTCTCAAAACTTTTAACCTCCTACCAAATATATATAATTTAAAAAAGTAAATACCATTATCCCTCTCCAATTTTATTCAAATTGAAAATTATTTCATAACTAACTACCCCCCCCCCCTTTAATTTCAATGATGCTCCAAGTAAAAGTCCCTGCACTCCAATGAGTTCGCATTTCAAGTTACGATATTGACCTTTTGGGAAAAAATTGGTTAAATTATTGTTATATTATAGCTCTAAAATTTCTTAAGGTTCATAATTATTTAAAATCATGGAGAATATGGTAAGAATAACCATTATCAGCTTGGATTTTACAGTTTATAAAATCGTTTTTAAATAAGACAAGGGGGAAGGGCTAAACCTCCCTCACTGGGAAATATGATTAATAACAATTTTCTTTTAAATTGATAAAACTCCTTCCATATTCTAAATAAAATTATCTCAGAAATTTCTTATTTAAATAGGAATATAAAAAAATCTTACAAATCTAGGAATAAACAATATCATCATTTTATTTTATAATCCATTTTCACAATTTTTTTTACAAATTATAATTATAAAACGGAACGCTTTTCGGAGAGGTTAAGCGCACTTAGTTTTACGTTATTAAACAATAGCTCAACCTATTCGCTTGATGAAAATAAGTAGCTATCCTATTTGTTTTAAATTTTACCAAAACCAATCCATCTCATTTTGATATAACATTTTCCCAAGTTGCCGCAAGTTATGTCATCTGTCGGAAAAGTTTCCAAGCTTAATTTTCTGATGCAAAAAAATTTAAAAAATCCCCCACTCCTTAATTAGGTGCCAGATAGGCGATTTGGTTTTTATTTTATTATAAAATTAATTTCTTTTTTTTTATTTAAGATTTTTTGAAATATTAAATAAAATTTATAATATTGCCTACAAATTTTTAAAGGAGATGGAAATGGAAGTTAAACTGGGGGGGGGGGGGGGGGGGGGCTAAATATTTAGATGAAAAGTATTTTATTTCATCAAATCGAAAAATAAATAACATTAAAAAAATAACATCAAAAAATAAGATAAAAGAATAATGAAATGAGCCTCTCAAAAGGAACAGTTACCTAACCAGATATTTAGTATAAAATTATTTTATTTTTATAAAAAAAATTTTTATGGACGAGGCAGATATGGAACAAGAGCAAGACAATTCTTTTACCTCTATAAAAGATTACTTTATAGACAGTAATAATTCTAAGCGCAAATGTTTGTATTGTGATAAAATTTACAGTCTCCATACGGCTACAAGTATAATATATTTCTAAAATATATTTCTGATAAAATATGATAAATAATAAGAAAATAAGCAATAGGTGATGATATGTAGGTTCTATTTTCAATTTCATAAAACTTATAATAATAAATTTGAAAATGTTTATATACATTGTTTAATAGGTTAATAAAAAATAAATTACCAAATATATAAATCCTATATTAAAAATTTTTAATATAGCCAACCTTAAAAATCATATAAAAATATCGCACCCTAAATTCATTATCCAAACTAAAGAAATAATGCCCAAGCATTTATCGGGCATAAGAAAACTTCAACCAGAAGAAAACAAAAGATTAAATAAACTAATACTCAGATGTATTATTAAAAATAATTTAGCATTTAACATATTCGACTCAATTGAATTCAGGGATATATTTGCTTTTATATTCAAAAATGAAAAAATTTGGACACAACAAACAGCGAAAGTATATTTACATTCGATGTATGAAACATCCAAATTAAAACTAATAGCTAAATTAAAAAATGTACAAAGTAAAATTTCGCTTTCAACCGATATTTATACAGGAATCAATAGTATATCTTACTGTTCTATTACTGTACACTATATTACAAATAATTGGAAAATTAAAAACTATCTTTTAGATTTAATCCAACTTCCTCATCCGCATAGTGGGCAAGATATAACGAATTATTTATTAAAATCTCTCGAAACATTTGAAATTCAAAAAAATGTTATAGCATTAACTCACGACAATGCTAGGAATATTATTAATGCAGCTGCTATAATGAGTAATCATTATAAAGAAAAATATAATATGCCCTTCTATAGTAATAGATGCCTGGCGCATGTTATAAATTTAATTGTTAAAGAAGGGCTTAGTATTTTTGATCCCAAATTAGAAAAAATACACAAATTGGTGAAATCACTTCACCTTTCGCCCAAGCTAATGCAAAAATATCTTGAAATTTCTGGAGGCACAAGATTACCATTCGACGTGGTAACTAGGTGGAATTCTAAGTATCTCATGATTTCTACAATAAATAGAGTAATTTAACCATAATCTTATATGTTATTTATATAATATATTTTATTTTAAAGAATTTAGAGGCTATTAAACGATTAGGGGAAGAATGTCTTCCCAAAGATGAATTTTATCTTAATATCAATGAGGAAAGATATTTAAAGGAAATTGAAACCTTCCTTAAACCATTTTTCGATATTACTTGTGAAGTTTCTTCGGAAAATACAACTATTGGGACGACGGCTTTATTCGTCGCTTCGATAGGGAATTTCTTAGATGAAACATTTAATTCACATGCTAATGATGATATCAAAAAGGCAGCTAAATTAATGCTGACCAAATGTAAAGCCTACGAAGGCTTATTTGGTAGCCTTACAAATTACATATCTAGCTTCCTAGATCCCAAAACAAAAATCTATCTTAAATAATAAATATGACAAAGAATTTAAACAAATACACAATCCTTTGGCCAGCATATCAAACAACGGTATATGAATTTACAGATCACATTGATTCACAACCCTACTCAGTTATTATGCATAATAAGCTGCGAAAGTAAATATAAATACTTAGAAATTTAATTAACCTTGTATTTTTATAATTATTTTCAGAGATGCTATCGATAATCCAGACCCCATGAGAGATGAGATCGTGGAATATCTTAAGGAACCCGTTGCGCCAGCATCGACAAATATCTTGGATTGGTGGGCAAAGAACGCCACCATATATCCCACTTTGGCGTTAATGGCTAGGGACTATTTAGCTCAACAATCTACAAGTGTAGCAAGTGAGAGGACCTTCAGTAAAGCTGTTGATTGTATGACTAAAAAAAGGAATAGAATGGTTTCAGAAACCCTCAAAGAATGCCTGTGCCTGAGTTGTTGGGACGTAGATCTATTGGAATAATGTAAATATTATTACATACTTTGTTGTGATTGTGTTTAGACCATATTAACTTATATAATTAGTCCGAATAATGTTTTTGTAAATTTTAAACAAGACTTTTACTTGCCCTCTCTTAAAAAATTGGTAAAATTTAATGATTTTTTAATTCTTTCAATATATCTCTATATTTATTTTGAAGCTTTCCTGAAGAAAAAGATTTGGCAAATGAAGATTGAACTGACGATATTTTTTTATATTAAAATATTTTTTTATATTAAAATTTTATTTATTCGATTTTTTTATTGTAATTATAAAATTTAACTCATATGATTTATAAAGATTTAAATAAATAAAATAAAAATATTAGTTATAATTTATTTTAATAGACAGGCCCTAGTTCGAACTAGTTACTGTTTTGAAGAAATTAATAAATTACTAAAATTCTTAAAATGTATATAAATTTTAGTGAATAAGGCATACGCGATATACCGAAGGACAGGACACAATTTTTGAGAATAAAAATATATTGGGGTTCATAAATTCTTTATTTTTAAAAAAAATATATCAATTAAACATCTTAATACTCAGAATTTGTATCTTAATTACCTCAATTTAAATCAGGAAGAGCTTAGGCAAAATTATATGAGATAATTTCCATATATAACGTTTTTTTCAAACGGTTTTGGGAAATGTTACTAGAAACCTCTTTATTTCCAAACAGGATTAATTTTAGGAATTGATTTTTTCCATTCATTATCAAAATTTCCGTTAAAAAGAATTTAAAAATCTTAAAACTTAATTTGGTAATCTAGCAGATATTTTTCTCTTAATATTGTACAAAGTTAAAAATAAAATGTTAAGATCCAGACTAAACTTGAGTCGTGAACGAGTCATAAACTTGAGTCGTGAACTCGAGTTATGAATTTCAATCGTGAACTCAACAGGTTATCTTAAATTTTATGAAACTTGATTACTTAGTGCTGTTAATTGGTTGGTTGGCTCTAAAAA